TCCAGAGTTCTACCTATTCTATCTTATAGCAGATTCAGTATTTATTTTTTATTTTATTTTTTAAATATTTATTTATTTTTATTTATTACATTTATTTTATTGTGTGTGTGTGTGTGTGTGGCCAGCTCAGCCCACCAGGGGGCGGGGCTGGCTGGCATGTGGAGCTGGAGGATCGAACCGCGGTCCCTGTGCTTTGCCAAGCTTGTTTCAAGTAGGTGCTTTAGACCACTGAGCCATCTCTCCAGCCCCTCAGTATTTATTTTAATATTTAGATCTGTGATCCAATTCAGTTGTAGTGTGTGGTGAAAGTTATGACTCTAGTGTTAATCTTTGTGGAAAGCCAGCTTGCTTTCTCCCAGTGAATGTATTTGACACCTTTGTCGAAGAAAGTGGCTGAGTGTGTCTGAAGCTGTTTCTACATCTTCTAATCTGTTCTATTGATCCTCTAGTCTTTGGTTTTTGCCAGTACCATGCTGTTTTTTTTTGTTTTGTTTTGTTTTGTTTTTTAATCATAGTAGCTTTGTAGTATAATTTCAAGTCAGGGATTATGATGTTCCCACCTTGCCTTTGTTGCCCAGAGTTGCCTTTGCTATTCTAGATCTTTTCTGGTCCCAAATGAATTTTAGGATTGTTTTCTTTAATTCTTTCTCTCTTTTTCTTTTCCTTTCTTTTTTTTTTTTTTTTTTGGTCTTTTTGAGACAGGGTCTTGCTTTGCAGTTTAGCCCAGCCTTGAGCTCACTTTATAGCATAGACTGGTCCTGCATTCACAATGATCATCCTGCCCCAATCACATGCGAGGGTACTAATTTCTTTTTAAATTTCATCTGTGACCCATTGGTTGGTCAGGAGGTCAATTTCCACATGTTTAGGAAGTTCTTATGATTTCTTTTGCCATTGAGTCCCAATTTCATTGCAGTATGCCCTGATAATATACATGGAATAATTTCAGTTCCTTCGTATTTGCTTAAGCATGTTCCATGTGCTAGTATGTGGTCTGTTTTGGAGAATGTCCCAAGTGTACCTGAGAATATATACTCTGATACTGTAGGTGAAACACTGTAATCATCTACTGAGTTCATTTGTTCAAAAATTTGGTTCAAAGTCCACCTTTTTTTGGTGTACATTTATAATCCCAGCAGTCTATAGGCTGAGTCAGGAGGATTGTTGCAGATTTGAGACCAGCCTGGGTTACAAAGTGAGCTCAAGACCAGCCTGAACTTCATAGCAAGACCCTGTTTCAAAAATATATAAAAAAAAAGTTATGATATTTCCTTGTTGATTTTTCACCTACTTGATCTATCCCCTTTTTCTCTTTTCTTTAATTTCTTGCCCTGCCTGGTAAATTCTTTCTGTTTGGGTTCATGGAGTTACAGTCTTCATTATTTCTATTTAGAATGTTCTTTAGAACATGCTTGCAGTTGATGAAGTAGAGGCTTGAAGATTAAATAACTTGCTCCAGACCAAACAATGAAAAGCCCCAAGTGGCAGGTAACTACAGAACTGCAAAAGCACAGACTGGTCTGGATAGATGGAAACCAGTCAGTAGAACCCTCAAAATTCAGGGAGGTTGTACTTTTATAGAAAGAACTGCTGCAAGTTCTTAAACCCAGAACAGAGCCAGATGATGAAAATAACACAAAATTGAAAACATGGTCTTGTAACCACTCCATCTACCTGTGACGGCACACCCTGATGTGGACATTTTTCTTCTTTCTTTTATGTTTTTCCTGGTTTTTTTTTTAAATGAGTATGAACACTTTCTAGTTTTGTTACTGTTCGTCTCTTTTTCTTTTCTCTCCCTCCTGTCTTCTTCCCATATTCCCCCAAATTTATGTAAACTTCCCATCTGCAGTCTCGTTTCTTTTTTTTTTTAATTTATTTAGTGTGTGTGTGTGTGTGTGTGTGTGTGGCCAGCTCAGCCCACCAGGGGGCGCAGCTGGCTGGCATGCGGTGCTGGGGGATCGAACCGTGGTCCCTGTGCTTTGCCAAGCTTGTTCCAAGTAGGTGCTTTAGACCACTGAGCCATCTCTCCAGCCCTGCAGTCTCGTTTCTACTCCTTTCCTACTCTTCTATTTCTCCCTTCCTGTTCACCATCCCTTTTTAAATTTTCTCCCCGAAGGTAAAATTTCTGTATTGAGGGCTTATTCACTGTATATTATGTTCTAGTTTGTTTTAAATTTTGTTAAAACTCTACTTCATCACACTCTACTTCATGAGCTGCAAAGCAGAAATCATGCTATTCTTGTATCATAGAAATTTTAGTAAGGATAAGTGAAATAGTGTGTTTTTAAAAGAATAGCTGGGCTGGAGAGATAGCTTGGCAGTCTAAGTGCCTGCCTGACAAGTGCAAGGACCCAGGTTCAATCCCTGCTACTGCATGCTGCAACAGGATATAGTGGTACATGCCTGTAATTGCAGCACTGGGGAGGCTGAGACATGAGGATCACTATGAGTCTGAGATATGTAGTGAGACCCTGCATCAATAAATAATAATAAAAAGTTTTAAAAAAGAGGGGCTGGTGAGATGGCTCAGTGGTCTAAAGCACCTACTTAGAACAAGCTTAGCAAAGCACAGGGACCGCGGTTCAATCCCCAGCACCACATGCCAGCCAGCCCCGCCCCCTGGTGGGCTGAGCTGGCCACACACACACACACACACACACACACACACTAAAAAAATAAATTTTTTTAAAAAAAAGATCTTTTAAAAAATTTTTTTAAAAAAGAATAGCTCCTGGTATTGGAGATCTTAGTAAGTTTTAAGAACTTGACTAAAGTTTAAAAATTTGTTGTCCTCTTTCTTTTTTCCTTCCTTTTGTTTCATTTCATAACAGTTTTACGAGGTAGGAAGAGACTGGTAGTGGTATTAACATAGGCCATAGTAATTTATAGTAATGACATTTATTGAGCATTTATTATGTACCAGATGCTTCATGTTTCAGTGTAATCCCATGTGTAATTGTACAGGATATATAATTCTAATTTTACAGACGTAGAGGTTTGAACACGCAGAGATTCCATCCTTTTCACAGCTTCATATGGCCAGCATGTGATAGAGCCAGGTTGGAATCCAGGCTACCATGAGCACTGGTCTGCATTAAGGAGGATGAACTGGAAACATTTGCAGGCAAATGGATGTACCTTTAATTAAAAAAAAAAAAATCTTTTATTTATTTGGTACAGGGTCTCACTCCATAGCTCAAACTTGAAATGATCCTCCTGTCTCACCCTCCCCAGCACTGGAATTCCAGGCATGTGCCACTATGTCAGGTTTCTGTGACCAGCACAGCGTGTGGTACCAGGAATCAAACTTGGGTCCTTGTGCTTGCCAGGCAGGCACTTAGACCACCGAGCTATCTCCCCAGCCTGGATACACCTTTAGACCATAATTTTTTTTTTAAGATCATAATTTTAAGTGAAATGAATCAGATGCACAAGGTTAAATATTACATAGTTTCTCAATATAAGAGACCCAAAGTGTCAATAAATAGCAAAATAAAAAGTAAAAACTAGGCAGGAAGAAAAAAGGAGATAGATCTGTCTCACATGGGAGGGGGGTCAAGAGATGGAAGGATGGGAGGGGCAGGACAAGATGTATACACTGCCAGCTCCACACATACTGAGACAAACAGCCAGCCGTGTGTAGTGGCACCTGTCTTCCCAGGACTTAGGAGGCTGAGACAGGAGGCTGTGTGTTCGAGGCCGACCTGGGCTACATAGTTCAAGGCCAGGCTGAACTGGATAGCGAGACTCTGTCTCAAGAAATGTTCATGCTACACTTCTAAATCCCAGTGTGTCTCCATTTTCTGTTGTAGAGGGCTAAGCTGGGGAGAACGTCACCCACTAAAATGCACGCACCTTGTGAGTAGGTCGGGGTATAATTATTTAATAGGAAACTCAGTAATACACAGTCTATGTCACAGAGCCAGAATACCGACCCCTGTTTGTCAGACATCAAATTGTGTTCTGAATTGTTGTATGCTATTGTCTCCAGGCTGCTAAAAGCAAGAAATACTTTCTGATGTGATGTTACAGGTTAGATCCATTATAATTTACTCTGAATCCCATTCTTGTGGTCAGTCACATGAAATGACACTGTGGCTGTCACCTGTTACAGTAGAGGGGATCTCTGCCTGCTGAGTGGCTAGCGAAGACACACACATTGAAAGTGTTGTGATTACCTCATGGAATTCTTGAGCCCCGCTGGGCTTCCTGGTGGTGAGAGAGGGACTTGCATGCCCCGGGCTGATGGGAGGCCAGTGGTACCCGGAGAGGACCAGGGTTAGAAGGGAACAGCGTTGCTTCTTCACTTCTTCCCAGCACTCACATTGTTTATCAGACCCATTTCTCTCCTTTATAGTTTGGTTCCCAAATTCCTGCTGTAACTGATTCTCAGGTGTCTGACTTCCCTTAATTTCTGCCCATGGAGATTCGGGATAAGCACAGTTCTTTTTTTTTTTTTTTTTTTTTTTTTTTTTTTTTAGGGAACGGTCTACAGGGTCTCACTACTAGATCAGACTTGTAGTGATCTGCCTGTTTATAGCCTCCCAAGATCTGGGATTGCAGGTGCACTACCATGCCCAGTCTCAGTTGCCAACCTCAGTGCACCCTGGGGGTGGGGCCTGCAGCCTGCATGGCAGGCCCAAGGATCGATCCTACCCCTAGCCCCTGTGTCTGCTTGCAGGTGCTGCTGAGCTATTTGGCCAGCCCAACACAGTTCTTTAGTGGCTTCTCTTATGATGGTTGCATACTGTGCTGTGGGCATAAAAAGGAAAGACTGCTGTGAAGTTGTCCACCAACCCACGTAGCACTGCAGACATTTCTCAGCTTCGTGTAGTAGTTGCACAGTCTCTGAGCGGGGGTACTGGGTCCCGACCAAGGAATGTGTTCCAACATTTAGTGTGTAGAAAGGGACGACCAAGGAATGTGTTCAAACATTTAGTGTGTAGAAAGGGACGTGAACCCGGACTGATGAGAGCTTGCTTTTTTTTCTTTTGCAGGAAAGATGCAAATTCTGCACTGCTCAGTAACTACGAGGTATGTAACTTCGAGTGGACTACTTTTCCTCTCTGGTGGTTTTGCCCTTGGGAAGATTGTTAAAGCAGGACAGAGGGCCCTGTCTTGTGGACTTGGGAATATTCTAAGCTTGATAAATTACTTGCGGAGAAGGTAGGTGCGCTTTAGTTTTTAATTTATTTATTTCCCACGCTTTAGTTTTTAAAATTTTACTGTTTTTGTTTTTGTTTTTTGTAAAACTGGGCCATTTTAATGTTTTTACAGTTATTCGTTTTCTTTTTTTAAGATTTTTTTTTTTAATTTAATTTTATTTATTTATTTATTTATTTTTGTGTGTGGCCAGCTCAGCCCACCAGGGGGCGGGGCGGGCTGGCATGTGGTGCTGGGGGATTGATCCGCGGTCCCTGTGTTTTGCTAAGCTTGTTCTAAGTAGGTGCTTTAGACCACCGAGCCATCTCACCAGCCCCCAGTTATTCGTTTTCTTGATGAATGTAGTCATGAGAGCTGTTCAGCAGTATTCAAGTTATGGTTTTCCTGATTGGTCTATAGTCTTCAATAAGTGTTAAGAAGGGGCTGGAGAGATGGCTCAGTGGTCTAAAGCACCTATTTGGAACAAGCTTGGAAAAAGCCCAGGGACCGCGGTTCGATCCCCCAGCACCACATGCCAGCTAGCCGCGCCCCCTGGTGGGCTGAGCTGGCCACACACACACACACACACACACACACACACACACACACACACTAAATAAATGTTAAAAAAAAAAAAAAGAAATAATTTAAAAAAAAAAATAAGTGTTAAGAAGTTACTGTATGAAATATCTATCAAACTAGTAAGACTGCATTGATGCCTCCATCATTTTTAGGATTGTTACCTGGGCATACTTACCCCAGATAACCTTGCCTTCTTGGGTCAGAAGGCTCAACTCACATTCACCCCAGTCACTGTTCCTTTGATAATAACACCCAAAGTTGTATACAGTGGCGATGAATGATTCTTTTTCTCACCAGGTATTGGCAGGCAAAAGGTGGCTTTCAGTTTAGTATGTGTTATGTGGGCCTTCTTAAAATATAAGCCCATTGACCTAATGAATCTTTTGCATTTAAGTGGTTTTCTTGTAAACCCATCTCCAACAAAGCAGACTTTAGTAACCATCCTCTTCCATGCCTTCTTTTTTCTCTTTCCAGTTTGAATAAATTTTTACTTTTGTTTTGCAGAACCAGAAGTTGAACTCAGGCCCTTGCACTTGCCAGGCAAGTGCTTATTCTACTGAGCCATCTCCCCGGCCCCTTGAATAACTTTTATTCTTTCTTTTTTTTTTTTTTTTTTTGGTATTTAGGACAGGGTGTACAGGGTCTCACTACGTAGATTGGACTCATAGTGATTCTCCTGTTTACAGCCTCCCAGGTGCTGGGATTGCAGGCATGCACCACTATGCCCACTCTCAATTGCAGTCCCAGTATGCCCTGGGTACGGGTATGGCATGACCCGCTGGGGATCAAACCCAGCCACTGTGTCTGCCTAAGCAGGCACTTTAATCTGCTGAGCTATTTGGCCGGCCTTTTGGAATCACTTTTAGTACTTCCATTTCTCCTTGGGCACAGACTTTGGGCAGAGGAACTTCCCATTTTCCCGCCTTTTCATTTTTGTTTAATAATGTTAGAAAGTACTTTTGCATGAGACTGTCCCTCTCTGTCCAGCAGGTAGGCAGGTCCTGCTCCTTGTGGAGTCTTTCGTCATTATTTTGTTTGGTGTTTCTCTTTTCATGCATTTTGATAGTCTTCTTCATTTGTATTCTCTCCGCATGGCACTATTTGTGGTAGAGCTCAGCCTTCAGGGCAATCTTTCATTTTTATTTTTTTGCCTCCTTTGAATGTTCATGGGCCTCTTGACTTTCCTTCTTTATCTTTTTCTCATGGTAATCCAAGCAGTACCCATAGTGTTTATGGTGCAATTCAGTATATTCTGTGGCATGACAGCTGCATAGCTGCCTTGGGCGGTCTCAAGTGTGCAAAGAAATGTCCTAACTTTGGGGTGTCCCAGACAAACAAGCTGCCTCTGTGCAGCTGAAAACAGAAAGAATTTTACTGTTTGATTGCTTTTTTTTTGGTACCAGGGATTGAACTCAGGACCTTGCACTTAACAGGCAGGCACTTATGCCACTGAGCTACTTTCCCAGCCCTATTTTACTGTTTTGAGACAGAGTCTTGTTATGCAGTTCAGGTTGGCCTTGAGCTCACTTTGTAGCCCAGGCTAGTCTCAAACTCGCAGTGATCCTCTTGCTTCAGCCTCCTGAGTGCTGAGGTTCGCCACCATTCCTGGGTGGCTTCAGTTTATAATGAGTACCTTCCCTTACATCCCAGAGACTCTTGAGTCATTACTTGGGATACCTTTGTGGACTGTAAGCATCTGTTTCAGAACCATTTCTGTCTGTAAAAGTTTCCTAATCTAGGGCTAGGGATTTAGCTCAGCAGCACAGCTCCTGCCTGGTGAGTTCAAGGCACTGAGTTGGATTCTCAGTACCAAAAAAATAAAGTGTCCTAATATAATAGTCATACCTTTTCCTCATGGCCATCATTTTCCTATAAATTGTTTCCTGTAATGTATTATCACTTTGATCCTCAAGTGGCCTCAAAGATACTAACATCCTTATTTTGAAATTGAGAGTTTTGTTCACCATTATGGATAGTTGGGAATAGGCAGATTTATATTTTTGAGGGTTTCAGGGTATGACTGACTGCTGGGGAAAACAAGAAGAGAGGGGCTGGTGGAGAGGAAGGTAACAGCATTGTGACCTGTCCCCTACCCCGCCTTGCGTGGCCCCACTGTGGTACAAACAGGACCCTCTGATGGCATGAAGCCATTTGTACAACCAAGTCAGTTTCCCAGGTGTCAGTACAAACTCACAAAGACGTCGAGGAGGTCTGGGTCTCTTTTGGGGGGTGCATGTAGAGTGAGTTAGGTTTGTCATCTTCCTTCTGCCTGCACTGTTGGCTGCTCTTGATGATAGGAAGGATGTGATTGTCGTCAAGCCATCTCTGGGCACCTTAGACCTGAGAGGTGTTTCACTGTTTTGTCCCCTGGGGAAACACTTCATCAGAGGGTCTTGGCCATTGTTCTTAAAGGCATAGCAGGCAGAGGAGGGAATGCATTACCTCAGCACTGGCTGTAGGCCTGTTTCCCTCAAGTCTCTAGTAAAGTCTCGGAAACAGGGCAGAGATCTCACCTGCATCCATCTCAGAATTAACACCTGATTTTTTTCACTACAGAGAAGCTTCACTTCTCAAAATCAATAGCATTTTCTCCCATATTTGTATTTTCCTCCAGTGCTGGGGATTGAACCGAGAACCTTGTGGTGCTAGGCAGGTGCTCTGCCATTGTGCAAAATCACCAGGCCCTCCTTTATTTTATTGTGTCTCTATAATTTTTCTTTTGTAAAAAGAAATGATCTGGTGTGGTGTGCACACCTGTAATCTCAGCACTTGGGAGGCCGAGGCAGAAGGATCTTTGTGAGTTCAATCTGGGCTGAAAAGTGAGCTCAAGGCCAACCTGAATTGCATAACAAGACCCTGTTTCAAGAAAAGAAAGGGAGGAAGGAAGGGGGCCAGCCAAATAGTTCAGATTAAAGCGCCTGCAAGCAGGCACAGGGGCTGGGGGTTCAATCCCTGGGCCTGCCAAGCCCCCCCTTCCCCGAGGGCACACTGAGGTGGGAATTCAGACTGGGTGTCGTGGCCCACACCTGTATTCCCAGCACTTGGGAGGCTCTAAACAGGCAGATCACTAGTAGTGAGACCCTGAACACACTGTAGACCCTTCCCTAAAATACCAAAAAAAAAAAAAAAAAAAAAATAGAAGTTATACTTGATTTACTTATGAGAACTCTGTGCTCAGGATATAGCTCAGCAGCTTAAGCTCCTGCCTGGCAAGCACGAGGTCCTGAGTTCAATCCTCAGTACCACAAAAACAAGCATATGATAACTTTTTTTTTTTTTTTTTTTTTTTGTGGTACTGGGGATTGAACTTGGGACTGAGCTATCTCCCCGGCCCAGAGAACTCTTTAAAAATGTCAGAAGGTATATTCTCAAATACTAGTATTCTATTGGTGATATAGTGTATATTGTTAGGAAATACTTGAAGTATTTTAAGTAAACTAATGAATTTATATTATTTGGCTTAGATAAGTAGCATTTTTAAAACGTGACACATTTCTAAAGCTTGCTCATTAAAGGAGCCAGGTGTGGTTGTGCTGCACTCAGGAGGCTGAGACAGGAGGATCACCACAAGTTTGAGGCCAGCCTGGGCCACATCGTGTAGTGAGTTTAAGGCCAGCTTGGACTACATAGCCAGAGCCTGTCTCAAAAAAATGATTTACTAATAAAACTCTTGCATATGTCCTCATAGGTGTTCCAGTTACTGACTGATCTGAAAGAGCAACGGAAAGAAAGTGGGAAGGTGAAACACAGCGCGGGGCAGCAGAACCTGAACACCATCACCTACGAAGTGAGTCCGGGCTCCCGCAGACCCTGGCGGGCTGCCGCTGGCAGGGCGCTCACTCTGCTGGTGCTGCCCACCGGCTCGGGGTCGCCTCTCACGTGGCTTCAGCAGATCTGCTGTCGCCCAGTCTTCATTCTGCTCACGCAGCAGGAGGATGCGGCTGTCCTCACTTGGAAACACTGTGGCGCCGGGGCCCCACCGAAGCCTGCTCTGGCCTAGTAACTGAGGAGTCACTGAAAGTTGCTGTAGTCAGAGTGTCCTTCTGGCGTCCCCTCCCCGTGAAGCTGGGAACTGCCCTGTCCTGACATCACTGTGTCACAGTAGGCACCAGGGGCTCCTGGCCAGGGAAACCAGCCAAACACTGGGGTCCAAAGTTCTTAGGAGCAGCCAGTGCTCCCCGAAGGCCGTGTGTACAGCCAGTTCTCCCCTAGGTCACAGTATGACCAGAGGGCCCAGAGATCGCTGGACACACATTCCAGGGCCCACGCTTTGTGCCCCAGAAGCCTTACGAGAAAGGCTGGAACTTCTTTTCGGGCAAGGTTAGCTCTGTATTTCACAAAAAGCAGTAGATTTTTTTTGCGGAACCGGGGATTGAACTCAGGCCCTTGCACTTGCCAGGGAAGTGCTTATTCCACTGAGCCATCTCCCCGGCCCAGCAGTAGTTATTTTTTAAAATTAGGCACATGTCTATGATTGCAGCACTCAGGAAGCTGAGGCAGGGCTGGGTTGTGAGTTCAAGGCCAGCCTGAACTATACAGCGAGGCCTGGTCTCTTAAAAAAAAAAAAAAAGTGCCAGATGCATAAAGAAGAAAGCAGATGGAATTTATAGTTTTAATATGAGTTGACATTTTGCTGTGTTTTGCCTGATGTTACACTTTGTTCTTAGAAAGTGTATGCCATTTTAGTCATTATGTGATGGTTCATTTTTTTGTAATGTGTCATTTTAATTTAATGCTTTTCTTTCTATTTTCTTTCAATTCTGAGGTTTGTTTTGTTTTGCCTCTATAAATGATTTTGCTTTAATTATCTTTCATTTATCTTTCCAAAGACTTTATTAAGCTTGGATTAAGGAAAATAAGGGGGTTCGCACTTTAATTGCTGTCCCTCCTCTTCCAGTCTTGCTCATTTAATCAGGCATTTCAAACCTTTTCCATTCTTCTGTTTATTTGTGTTCTCTTTCATTCTTTAGTTTATGTCTTGGAGAAGAAACTATTTGTTGGCAGTTAGTTTTGTAACCAAATTTCAGACTGTAGCCTGCTCTTACTTTCTGTGCTTAATCCATTTAAACTCACTGCAGCTCTGTTCCTAAGTTCTTTCTGTAAAGTAGGTGGGACCCCAAGGAAAGTTATGTTATCAGATACCTGTTTCTAGTTCCTGGTGTGAATGGACACTACTTGTCTGAATGTGGTGGTCTTGGGTTGAGATTCTGTTCCACAGAGCGTTCTAGGTGGTAAGAGAAAAATTTTGGTGTCTTAAATTAATTACAGTTTGGAGCTTGGAAGAAGAGATGGGTGGATCACTCAGTTAGCAAGCTATGGGCCAGGCACAGTCTTGAATGAGTTGGGTGTGGTGGCACACTCTGTAATCCTAGCACTTTGAAGGCTGAGGCAAGGGGATCACAGTGAGTTCTAGGCCAACCTGGGCTACAGCATAGCGAGCTCAAGGCCAGCCTGCCCAACATACCAAGAGCTTGTCTTAGACACACCTCAAAGCAAACCAAACCCTTTAACTCAAATCTTGTGCAGACCCCACAATCCTGGCAGTCCAGAAAAATAGGCAGTTACCCAGGCAGTCACCGCTTCTCACTGACTGCCCAGTGTCCCAAAACTTTCCCTATTTCTACAGTCCCACCGTGCTTTATCTATTAACTATCATTGGATCAGCATAAATAGTACCAAACTCTTTCCCCAAACTTTTGTTACTGATTTTTTCTTTCTTTCTTTCTTTCTTTTTTTTTTTTTAAGTACAGGGTCTACAGGGTCTCACAAGGTAGGTCGGACTCCTACTGATTCTCCTGTTGATAGCCTCCCAAGTGCTGGGATTATAGGCTTGCACCACCATACCCACTCTCAATCCCCATCTCAGCACGCCCCTGGGACAGGGCCGGCCCACAGGCCCTGGGATTGAACCCTGGCCCCTGTGCTCTGCCTGAGCAGGCACTTTAATCTGCTGAGCTATTTGGCTGGCCCTTGAAAGTTTTTTGTGTTTTTTTTTTTGGCATAGCTGGGGATTGAACTCAGGCCCTTGTGCTTGCCAGGGAAGCGCTTATTCTACTGAGCTATCTCCCTGGCCTGAAACTTTTTTTTTAACTATAACTTTTTTTTTTTTTTTTTTTCTCTGAGACAGGGTGTTGCTATACAGTTCATGCTGGCCTTGAATTCATTTTATAGCCCAGGCTGGTCTTGAACTCACAGTGATCCTCCTGCCTTAGCCTCTGAGTACTAGGATTATAGGCGTGTGCCACCACACCCGGCCTAAAATCATTTTTAAAAATCTCTCTGAGATGGTGTAGTTGGAGATAGAGCACATGCTTAGTATGCTTGAGGCCCTGGGTTGATTGCCAGCGCTGCCGGTCAGTCAGTCTGACGGTCTGACAGTCTGTTCTCTTAGCTCTGATCCAGTGGACAGCTTTGCAGCCCCCTGCCAGCTTTGTTGCTGGGAGTCACAGGAACTTGTCCCAGGACCAGGTCTTGTTTTTAGCTGGCATCTGTGACCACTCAAGAAACCCTCTTATCCCAAGGTCCCTGAGTCTGAAGAGTTTAGTTTAACATAGATATTCTGCTGTCGGTGCTTACGGAGTGTCTGAGACCAGTGCAGTTTTGCACCCTTTTTTTGGTGTCCTCAGCACTCAGCCAGTGAGTGCCAGCTTTCCCTGGGTTCTGAGTTCCCGGAAGCTGAGAGAGGCTATGGGCTTCGAGGTGGCCACGGGGCCTGGGGCAGCAGCTGGGGGAGGAGGTGCCCGAGCACCACCGTACAGGTGGGGTCTGCATGAGACCTAGTTCTCTGGGTGAGAGCTGCTCAAGATCCAGTTCTCCTGGCAAGAGCGTATCAGAGGAGCTGAGTTTAACTTTGATTTTCCTGCACAGTCTGTGGGCTCATGGCTATTTATTCTTTGGATTTCTTCTCTTTAAAAAATTGTGATGTGATGATTTCTTTTATGTTTTTTAAGATGAAGTTTTTCTTTTAAAATCTCATTAATTGTTCTTCTAGTTGTATTATTGTGTGGACTGTTTCATCTCCCCAGCCCCCGTCTTAGGAATTCATTACTGTATGTGAAGATTACAAAGTGAGCTCAAGGCCACCCTGAACTCTGTAGGGAGACCCTGTCTCAGAAAGACCAAAAAAAAAAAAAAGAGAAATCTAGACTACTAAGTTCTAGCCATCACCTTCCTTTTTCTCATTGAGATTGGTCTAATGCCTACCTTTTTCTTTTTTAGACGTTAAAATACTTATCAAAAACTCCATGCAGACACCAGAGTCCTGAGATTGTCAGAGAATTTCTCACAGCAATGAAAAGCCACAAGCTGACCAAGTAAGTGAAGGTCATCTCAGGTAGGACAACAATGGCAGAGTGTTCTCGGAAGCTGTGCAGTTAGCTTTCATTGAGCTTCGAATTGCAATGAGCACACAGTCTGCTTTAAGGTAGAGTTGAGATACTTTAGAGAAGACAACAGAGAGTTAGGTGTGCAGACCCTTCTAAAGCCAGGAGCAGTGTGGTGGACTTCCTGCATGTTTGTTTATTTGTTTGTTTGTTTTGCAGTACTGGTGAGTCAGGCCCTCTCACTGAACTACTTTCCAACCCTTTTTAAAAATTTTTAAAATGTTTTAGACAGGCTCACTAAGGTGCCCAGGCTGGGCTCAAATTTATGATCATCCTGCTTCAGCTTCCTCAGTGCTAGGATTCTGGGTGAGTGCCAAAGTGCTCAACTTGATTTTATTTCTTACTCTTTTCAAATTTTTTTAAATTTTATTTTGTATAGGGTCTCATTACACAGTTCAGACTCTTAGTGATCCTCCTATCTCAGCCTGCCCAGTGTCGGGATTGCAGGTGTGTACCACCATACCTGGCTTCAGTGTCCCTCAAGGCATACGGTATCAGGGATTGAACCTGGGTCCTTGCACTTGCCAGGCAGGCGCTTAGATCACTGAGCTATCTCCCCAGCCCCATCTTTTTTTTTTTTTAAAGCTGAATATACTACTCCCCCTCCCCCCATTTATGTATTTGGTACAGGGTCTCACTATGCAGCTCAGACTCATAGTGATCCTCCTATTTTTGGCCTCCCCAGCACTGGGCTTACAGACATGTACCAGCACACCTGTCCTCTGTTGCCGGCTTAGCACGCCTCAGGGGCAGGTCTTGCGCGGCATACAGGATGCAGGATCAAGCCCTGGTCCCTGTGCTTGTCAAAGCAGGCGCTTAGTCCCCTGAGATATCTCTCCGGCCCCTATGCTATATTTATATGTGCATATATGTTTTGTTTTGTTTGTTGAGACAGGATCTTGCTGTGTGGTTTAGGCTAGTCTTGAACCCATGGAGCCCAGGCTGGCCTCAAACTCAGTGATCCTTCTCAGTCTTCCAAGTGCTGGGAATATAGGCATGTGCCACTGTGCTTGCCCATCTGTGTTGTGTTGTGTTGTCTTGTACTGTATGTACCGTACCCTACCATATTGTACCATATTGTACTGTATTACATTGTATTGATAGGGCTTTTTTAAATAGGTGCAGCTGGCCTTGAACTCATTGTGTAGCCCAGGCTTCAGCGTGCTGGGATCTTCCTACCTCAGCTTCCTGAGTATTGGGATTACAGGCCTATGCCACCACACCCAACCTGGAGTTTCAGTTTTTTTAAGGAATCGCTGTACTGCTTTTCCTGGTCACTGCACCATTTTAGTCCCCACACCAGTGCATTTCAGGTTTCCTGAAGCCTTGTCTTTGTGTGTCTGGTTTTAATTTTAATATTCAAAATGACCAAACTGTTATCATTTCTTACTGCCCATCTCTGTGTCTTTGGGAAAATGCCTACTTTATTTTTTGCCTTTTTTCCCCCTTTTTTCCAATTTGTGTATAATTTTTGTGTACAGTGGCCACTGCAGCAGTTTTACGTTCTTTCCCCCCACCCATACATGTACTAAGCATTTGCATAACACTGAGTCATTTTTAAAACATTCAGGGTGACTTTCTTTCGTGATGAAAGGGTTGCTTTATTTCTTCCTTGTTAATACTTACTAAAAACTGATGCTGCTGAGCTGTCTCTTGGGTAGATGATTGTGGTGAAGGGGATGGTGAATGAAGGCAAGAGACAGGAAAAGGAATATTATGGGACTGTCCTGCTTCAAGGTTGTATATGGTTAGATTTTTGGACTTATGTGTAAACATAAGAATATAATTCTTTACGTCTATTTTTAAAAATATATTCTAATTTTTAAATGTTTTTTCATCATATGCTGTGGGGACTTTAAGTTCAACATATCAATACTTGATGAAAAATACCTGTTCCATGTTAT